AACGAATACCTGCTAGTTTCTGTTCCCATAAGCGCGTTCTTTGTCTGTTGTGATAACGAGCCTTTTCGTAGCGAATCTTCTTCTTTTGAACCTCTTTTTCTCGGTAGTGATGGCTCCATTTCGGAAATCGATGGTTGGTCATAATCCTCGGTTGATCTTGCTGGCACTAAAAGAACAGACTTAATACCTAACTTTCGTCTCTACAACTCAACCGCAGATACAGAGAGATTTTGACAAGTGACAAATATATAAGTTCAGAATTTGATGGCTGGACTTCTTCCTACTTATTTCTCCAAAATCTCAACCTTATAATGACTTCCAAAATCCAAATAAGCGTTAGCATTAGTTGTGACAGAAAACCCATTTCCAAAGATTCCTTCTTTTAAGTTCGCCCATACGATTCTCTCCTAACTCCAATTTAACTTGCTCAAGCAAATTCAGCATCTGCTTAATGATGAGACCGACACATACCTTCCCTTTCCTCCTTCCTTCAAAGACATAAGACGGTAGAATGAAGCGCTATTTTCGGCTGTCGTATACGCATTCTATTATAAATCTATTTTTACTAGCTTTCAATTTTTCAGGGCAACAGGAATTTCAACAATTATCGACTTGATGACAATATGGAGTGTATGAGTGCTTGAGATTGATAACAGAATCAATTTTCTTGAAGGTGCAGATTTATGACTTGAAGATTGTTAACTGTCAGTCCTCTCATTGTGGCTCCGGAACATTGCAAAATCCTGTCCTTTTTAGAAGCTTGTAAACAATGACGAGGGGGGAACAATTGATGAATTTACAATAACCTAAATATAAAAATAAATTAAGAAGATCTCAATCAGTTCTGCTCTCAATGATAACCAAAACAGCGCCGCCTAACATACTCCCGTTTACGACCATTGTTACAAGCCTTCTTATTGAAGAATACAAATTTTTGAAGCTTGGATTGATTGACACTGGATCAACTGATTGAAGAAACTCTCGCGTATATTGCTTGCAATCTGAACTCAATAAGCTTTAATCAGCTTAGGAAAATTTGAACAATGTTTTTCTAATCACACCCCGCACAGATCTTGTAGCGAACGAATATGGTGTTGCCTGTTTCCGCACAGGCATTTTTCACCTCATCCAAAAAAGCTCCCTATATAAAAAAGAGAAAAAGCTGCTTTTTAATGTTTAATGGATTTCAAAAGGAAAAAAAAAACTAGTCCTAACTCTGATGTTCGCTTAGGCAGTCTAAGCTGATAAGTGGAAAAAAAACTAATGGCGAAACGAGAAATGCCAATGGCGTGATGCAATATTTCTTGTTTTCTTGGATGATTCACGTGCATGAGAACAAAAAAAAAACGACAGCAAAAACAAAGGGCTTTTAGGAGGAAAACAAAGAAAGACACATCAAAGTGGAAAAGATTTATGATATATGAAAAGAAGGGGTTAGGAAGAAATGAGTGACGTCCAAAGAGGAAGTCGATTGCTACAAAAAACTTTGTTTGGTTCTCAGCACGACTAGAACAATTTCCGATTTTTTTGGAACATTACATAGTCAATGTGTCTCTATCATTTAAAGAATATTACTACCCAAAAACATCCGATAGTCTATTAAGATCCCATCATTCAACTTCAATGACGTTTATTTCTCTCTTAGTATCTAGTAGGTGATCCAATTATCAAATCAATCCATTAGTAGCATCTACTGTTAAAACATGCGGGTGGAGTGAGCAGGGAGAAAGAATCGTAATGCCATTTTGTTTCTCAATATAAAGTGCCCAAGACTGAAATGCGAAGTTCCCAATTGTTCAGAATTACCTAACACTAAGGTTAAAAGAAGGGAATGAAAGAAAAGGAGAATAGGGATTAAAGATGTTTATTAGAAATTTGAGCTGGCTGCAGAGATTAGCAAGACCACGGATTGAATCGTATGGGATATTCGACTACCTAGCTACAAACACAAAAACATCAAATGCAGATTGAACGCCTGTACACCTCTGCCAAGCTTTAATGCATCTGAAGCTGCAAAATTATAGAGTAAGACTCGAGATGTGGAACTGACTATTATATGGCCTCAAAAATCTGATCCTAATCTCCATCAAAACTGCAGTTCGAGCAACTTCTTTACAGTTATACTTACATTGATAGCTAGACAGCGGTTAGGTTTCTGCTAGA